GTCCTTGCGATGACGATGTTCAATGTGGTATATATTTCTTCGCACCGCGCTTCAGTTGTGAACTTGTGATCTGAACGATGTGTTAGATCCTTTGTAGCGAAGTCTCCGAGTCCAGGACCAGCATTTAGCACTGGTAGCATCCAGTGCGGTCTTTGCAGGCACCGTTATACGCCATCGATTTTATCTAGCGCTCTTCAGCATGATGTAAATCATGTGGTGCACGGGGAAAGTGGCACGAGGATAAGTCGTGCGAGAAAATAGAGCGACACCCATAAGTATGGACGAGTGCGGCGAGCGAGAGATCGTCAGGGAGCTAGGCGGAAAATATAAGTACTTGTACTTGTGGATCCGCCAAGCGCGAGACGCGCGGATGAAACGGAAAAGCAGGGGTTAGGCGAAGACTGCGAGGCTAAGCGCCAGAACAAAGAGGATGGAAGGGACGTACTGCTGAGCGCTCCTGCGAGTGTGGTAGGTGAAGGAGACGGAAGGATGCGCCACAATAATTTGGAAGGAGGGCAGTTCGGAGTGTGCGTCCGCGTCTTCGATTTCCATACAAGTGATTGCACCACAGAAACTCGAGAATATCAGCGGTAGAAAGACCGAGTCTATGTAAAGCAGGACCACGTCGAGAAGGCAGATATTAGTCGTGTTCCAGTGAAGCACAAATCAGACAAGAGTTCCGTCCAATATAGGAGCAAAGGGATTTCGTAAGTGGGGAGTGCATTATATGGCTGAGCGCCGACTGGATAATCTTGCCGTTGGAGGTTTGAGGGAAGAACTGTGATGGAACCAGGCTCCAGCTGAGTCATGTATACGTATCCTATCTCCGCCGCCGCAAGTGCCTTGAGATTGCAGAAACTGTGTATCATAAGTTTAAGCAATCTCGACGAGGGAGGGAAACCTACAATAATTCGTGGTGAAGGTAAGACCGAAGAAGGAAGTGACGTGGCGATCCGAAAGGTCGGCCGAAAGCGCCGATGCTCTTCTTCCTTTCCCGCCATCTTCTCTGCCAGTACCTTCACCTGTGGACCACAGAGGCTCAAATCTTCTTAGCCTCGTCGCATGCAGCACTCGACTCTGTACGGATGGCTTCCGCTGCCACCGTACAAGCGCCCAGCTCACTCGCATTCTTTTCTTTGACGCCGTCATCTCGAGCTGTTTTGTTTCTCATCGCTCGTCTTGGGTACCTCGGACTCGTCTCGCAAACTCATTATGTGTACGTTTACCACATATTATTGTGAGGAGGCGGTAGCGCTGGCGATGGATTGGGCAGGCGGGGCGGTAGCATGGTGCGCGGGCTTTTCTGATCCCTTCACTCTGCACTGACGTGGCTCTCGTCCCCCTTGTCGTCGCCGAAGACGTCCATATGAACCCTTCGCACCTCCCTCTAATTCGAATTGACTCCACTCTCGTTACTTACGCCCGCTACTCGCTTGCTCAGCAGCACGTAACGTGTACATGCTCCAGGTCCCCGCCTGCGCTTCTCGGCCCCGCAATGCGCGCGGCGTCACGGACAATGGAGGGCAAGAGACTCCACGCGATACGCCTCCCGCTCTCAGTCTTTCCACTGCACGTCGCCTCGTCTCCTAGCACGTACACCCGACGCACTACGACTCCACTCGTATCACATATGGTGCCTTCCCACCAGCTGGCTTATTCCCCCCACTGGCGGTGTCCTCGATCAGAACTTTCCGGTCCCGTCTCCCGCTCGACGTTCAATGTGTGCGCGCACGGTTCTTCTTTTCCTTCTGAAGACCCCGCTGATGTACAGATGCCTGCCTTCGCAAATTTGGCTCTTCTCAGATCTAGACATCACATTTCCGTCTTCGTCCTTCCTCTTTCCGCTGCGAGTGGAATCAGTGGATCGCACGTCACTTGCTCACGTCCTCTCCCACTGTAACCGGCCATTCTGACTCTGTCGGCGTCTCCTTGCTCCCGGTGCATTCCCTTCCGATCCGCGACATGACACTGCATCTCGTTCTTCGGTAGCGTCTGTTAATCCTGGCTGGGCTCCGTTCTTCGCTCGTGCCACGTCTATGAGTCTGTCTCTTTCATAGACTCTCCTGTTCTACGTTCAATTCTTACTTCCACATACGCTCCGCTGCGCCTTATCCGGTCTCCCGGGCGTGTATCGATATCGACGATAATTCGATCACCGTGGGCGCAAATTCCGCCTCTGCACGAACGTCTTTTGGTTCCGCATTTTCATCACCGGCTCGAAGTTCTCATGAAGTCGCGAGAGAGCGTGGTTCTTGGAACACAACCTGCGTGCAACCTGCGAACTATATCAATCAATTTCTCGAGGTTGTTTTCTCGCCCCGTATCTCTCGGTGATTGACTCACGATATCGATCTCACAATACAAGACGTTTTCTCGTGGTTTGTGAATACATAGGCCATCACACGACAACACCGCTATCTCGATGGCAGCTCCGTTTCTTTTTTTCCTCTCACTTTTCCAAGGGCACTGACTCAATTGTGCGCAGTCAGGTCTCCCTGTTTCGGTCAGCCACATCTCTCCCATCCTTGACTTTTGTTTTTCTCAGACGGCACTCTCTAGAAAAGGTATGCTAGTCGATTGCACGGACTTATTACTACGTTTACGGTTTGCGATGCTGCCCGCGCTTTTCACCGGGTCTACGTCTTCTCGTTCAATGACCCGTGTCCTCAGACCTGTCTTGTTCAGTATGTTCCGTCTGGGGGGTTCAGCGCGATATCTAAGTATGCGGCGTCGTGTTCTTCTCTCGTTGCATGCCAGATTTCGCCGAGTACGTTCTGCGTCTTAGTCCTCCCTTCCCCACGTATACTTTCGATTCGACACCGCGTCTCGTTCCTCGGCACGTATGTGTTCGTTTCTTTCTTTGGACCTCCCCGTTGCGTTCCTTGGACTTTCTTCTTGGTGTAGCCGGCGCTCAGTTGCCAGAACTTTTCTAAATCCTCCTGGCGATCTGTTTCCTGGAACCTTCGAAACCATATACATCACGACTGCGTTGTACTCGATCATGCGTACCTCTTCCTGTGTTCTGGGTCACGCACGCATCCGTCTTGTGGACTGCATGCAATCGTCTTGTGGACTGCATGCAATTTGACTTATCCCCGACATTATTGGTCCATGAATCCTTATGTACCGTTTCTTCGATGCTGTAGCTTGAATGCCCCCTTGTTTGCGAATGCCAACGACTGGATTTTCGTGGAAACACACCGTTATCTTTGCCCACATTCGATCAATCTTCGCATCCTGGCCTTAATGCATACAAATTCAAAACAGATTCGACGACTCCAGAAACAACAGTGAACACAGGGCTCGAGTGACCTATGTCTAGACAAACACGGAATGAGCGACCAAATCAACTTTTGCCGGCCACTGGCAGCCATTTAGGATGGAGCGTCGAGTTTAATTTATGCGTGTGCTAAACTGTCCCCTCATTCACGATCTGCCAGCGAGTCATGCCGTGTCTTGGATATCGGGCGTTCTCGTTTAAATCCACAGTCAGTGCACGATTATCCAGCCAAACTCACATCCACACCCTGAGCTTGTGTTGTCAGAGAAATAGCGACAGCAGAGATGGTTGGTTCGCTGCCCCATGCGGCGATGACGGTACGTTTTCCTTCCTTTCTTCCGTCCTGCTTGAGCTTTGGTTAGGTATTCATTCCATTGCTCCAGAACGGCTAGATGTATCTCTTGACGAAGTTTGGATCGAGGTTTCGTCGGGATGGAGGTTCGGTCATTAATCTTGTTTCCCATCGCCGCTTTTTGCTTCACAAGGAACAAAATATCTCTAGTTCTGCACGGTCCAGCGCGATTACTCCATGAATGCCTAGCCTTCTCTTGACGCCGTTCCGTCGTCGCCGGTCAACCAACCGCTCCGTACCTCGAACTTAAAAATGTTTCATGAATAAGACGGCGTCGGGGAACTCTTTCAGACGGAGTTGCTCATAATGAATGTAGGTAGGTAGATCGGCAAACCCACGGCCTCCCATTACGGTACAAAAAGCACCTGCCCCTGCTTCTGCCTCCACCATTTGGTACCCCCGCCATCGACAATCCTCCGCGCTGCCTCGCTCTATGCCGCTACCATGACATCCACCTGTCCGTCTGCACCATTTGATTTCCTTCACCGCCCTAGGATTTGAATTCTGACCTGGTTCTTTTTTGGGAAAGTCGAAAACCAGATGGTTCCAAACTTTTCTGCGGCGGTGGGCGGCTCCAGGGCCACGGCCGCGAGCTATACGTGGCAGGGATTTGAATCCGGACCTGTTTTTTTCCAGAAAATCCGAAAACCCGCAGATTGGTGCTAGCATAGCGAATTGCAAGCCAACGAGTCGAAAGATTTCCGCGTCAATCCTCGGTCCGAGAGGCGAGTGAGGCTCAGAGGCGTCAAAGTTCCAATGCTCAGGGCCGGGGCCTGACTCAGACCGGACTCCACCGGAGTGCATCGAGAGGTGTAAAAAATACTCCTTGAACGGGACACAAACCTACCCAGTGCAGTACCCTGCTGGAAGTCAACACCTTGTGTCGACCGAAGACCCAGACATGCAACAGTGTACGTGCCGCAACACGGTGCTTGAAAAACAGTCCCCGTCTCCCCGATGGGGTTATGATTGCTAACAGAGGTCGTCATCCGTTTGCGGTCTCTGACAGAGTCCAGACGAGACGCGGATCGCGACGTGAACTTTCCTGCGGCGGGTTACGGTCTCAATATATTGGTTCCTGACGATTTATGTATATTACCTAGTAGTTTTCGAATGAATCCCCGGTCTTCTGCTATCTCCCGAGGCAAGGCCGCGGCTACCTTGATTTCAACAAGTCCCCCGTTTGTAAAAGGGCGGGGTCCCGTGCTCGTTCTATGGTCAGCGCAAGCTCACCGCTTCCTGAAAGGCGGCCGCGAAGCTGCCAGCGATGTGTTCGAGGAATTCCAGCATACGGAATGGTTTGTCCACCCTTCCAAGCGCCTAGATCCGGTGGGGCCATATCTGACTTGTTTTCGGCCGATGGAGGTCGACCCCTTTGCCGCAGCGGTTAGCGCATGCGGCATGAAATGCATCGGCGATTATCTTTCTTTGCGCACGGTGCTGGTTCGAGTCCGGCAGGGGTCACTCTTTGAGGAACCTCTTTTTGGTCCAGCTTCTGCGATCGGCACCGCAGGGGCGTCTGGCCCCAGCATCTGCCTCCGCCAGAGCCAGCCAAGGTGGTAGGAAGAGGTCATGTCATCCAAGAAAAAGGCGACAGTCCAAGGAAAAATAGGTAGAAAAGAAATACACACTAACCCGATTGGCGGTTTGAAGCTCGGAGGTCGAGAAGCGCGTGCGTTCTTCCTAACCTAAAGAAAATTTAGGTAGGGTGTAGGCAAGCAAAATACGAGAGTCCAGGCAAAAATAGGTAGAAAAAAAATCACACCGACCCGATTGAGGGGTCGAAGCTCGGATGCCGACTAACACCCAAGTAATGAACTGAGAACAAACGTTTTGGGGTGGATAATCATCCTAGGAATCGGTCATGTCAGCCAAGAAAAAGCCGACAGTCCCAGGAAAAATGGGTAGAAAAGAATTCATATTGACCCGATTGGGTGGTCGAAGCTCGGATGTCAAGAAGCGCACGCGTTCTTGAGGTAATGACCTAAAGAAACGTGTTGTGGGGTGGAGAATCGTGGGAAGAGGTCATGTCAGCCAACGAAAGGGCGGCAGGCAACCTTAGAAACAAGTGTGGTGTGGTCGGTCATCCCAGCCAAAGAAACTGCGGCAGTCCAAGCAAAAATAGGGAAGAAACAAAGAAAAAAAATCACACTCACCCAATTGCAGGTTGTGCTTATTCTTATCCCAAAACCTATTGCGCAGACAAAAATTGCAGTACTGATTGTACTATATTAGTCGTGACTGAATGACAATTAAAATCAAGTTAGTAAAAGTTTACGAACGTGATGACTGAGAAAAAATTGGGAACCAATGCCTATGGTGGGCAACGGTCCTGGATGCAGGTCTCATCAGCGGACGGCAGCCAGGCGGGCAAAGGGATTTTGCCGCTGCAGTGCTTTTGCCGCATGCAGCGGCACTTGCAGCGGCAGTACTGCGGCAGTCTGCGGCAGTTGAACTTGAAACACATGGTGAACTCTGCTACTGAACTGGTTGGTATCGCCGTAATTGGTAGTTTGAAATGTGCCAGGGTACTCTCTTGTATCTAATACATCGGTCCCTCCGTCTTGCGTCGAAGAAGGTCTTGTTCACTACGTTGAAAGCTGAAATATTTTCGATGCAGCGGCAGTCTGCGGCAGTATGGCGGCAACAAAACACATGCAAACATTCTGCAGCGGCAGTCAGCACAACTTGGCAGCGGCAAAATTGGCAGTTTGCAGCGGCACTTGGGGGTTTTACAGCGGCAGTGTGCCGTATGCTGCGGCAGTCCTGCAGCACTTGGAGGACGTGACACTGCGGCAATGTCACATTGCAGCGGCAGTTTGGCGGCAGTCCAACTTGTGTTCAGCGGCAATGTTACATAACTTACACTGTGCCGTTTCAAAAATAGTATACGGTTGCTCGTTCTTGTTTACCTCTGATTGATGGTGAGTCTCCTTCCGCTCCATCCGCTATGTCATAGCACCAATACGCGATGTTGTGACTTCACCACAGCTCCAACGGATCCAGCACATTTATATGGGCGATTTAACCCTGGATTTTCAATATTCTTTTCTCTCTCCTTCGAACTCGACATACGATCCAATAACCAAACTTCGTCTCATTATCGGGAGCACACTCGACAGCAGCACGGGTGGACTGTCCTTGCGCCGGGTCCACCTGCAGGCCCAGAACTCCCTCCTCCGTACACCCCAGAGGCCGCCCCCCAACCCACCTCTGCCGCCGCTACCACGGCTGGAGGTAAGCTTCTTTGATTTATTCATCCCGGAACTGCGAACTGGGATTAATGTTGAAACTAGGTGTTACCCTGGCTTTCGATGTCCCCGTCAACAGCAATATCATCGGTGCGACGCCGGTTACTCAGACGTCCCGTTTGCCGTCGGTTATACCAAGATCTGCAAGATGATGGGTCTTGATCCTGCAACTGCGTGTGTTGGGTTCAAGTGGGATAACGAGAGGGCCAATGTGGCCACCCACGCGTTGTCGACCAAAGCTGACTGGGATAACTGTCTGGAAACTGGGATTGGACTGACACGGAGGGCGAGGTCACGAAACGTGGTTTGTAAGATCAGAAATTTGGTGCGTCAATATCCAGCTTTGCGCCTATCTGTTACTGAACCCTTGAATGTTTAGAATCTCCCTACAGAAACAGTGCGCGCGACTTCATCGGCGTCACTCGCTTTGCTATGTATATAATCCCTATGTATATAATCCAGGAATATTGCGCGATATTCCAGGCTGAATATGGCTTAAAGAAGTGGGAATATGGTGTAAAGGAGTGGAATAGGGTGCTGGCCTGTGTGGAATAGGGCTTAAAGAAATTGCAATAGGGTGTAAGAAGTGGAATATGGTGTTGGAATATGGAGTCAGGGTAGAATAGGGCTTAAAGAAATTGGAATATGGTGTAAAGAAGTGGAATATGGTGTTGGAATATGGTGTCAGGGTGGAATATGGTGTTGGAATATGGTGTTAGGGTGGAATATGGTGTTGGAATATGGTGTCAAGGTGGAATAGGGTGTCGGAATATGGCATCATGGTGGAATAGGGTGTTGGAATATGGTGTTAGGGTGGAATAGGGTGTCGGAATATGGAGTCCAGGTGGAATATGGCTTAAAGAAGTTGGAATAGGGTGCAAAGAAGTGGAATATGGAGTTGGAATATGGAGTGAGGGTAGAATATGGAGTTGGAATATGGAGTCAGGGTGGAATAGGGTGTTGGAATATGGAGTCAGGGTGGAATATGGCTTGAGGAAGTTGGAATAGGGTGTGAAAGAAGTGGAATATGGAGTCAGAGGGGAATATGGAGTTGGAATATGGAGTCAGGGTGGAATATGGTGTAAAGAAATTGGAATAGGGTGTAAAGAAGTGGAATATGGCTTAAAGAAATTGGAATAGGGTGTAAAGAAGTGGAATCTGGCTTAAAGAAATTGGAATAGGGTGTAAAGAAGTGGAATAAGGTGTCATACCACAATCAGGTGTTGGAATTAAGTTGGAAAAGCATCTGATAACAGGTGAGATCCAGTTCTTTAAGCTGAAAAAACAGTTAAAGGAATGAATCACAAACCTGGTTGGCATCCAGTTCTTTAAGCTGGAAAACCAGTTAAAGAAACAGGAGGCATCCAGTTGTTTGAGCTGGTGGCATCCAGTCCTTTAAGCTGGAAAACCAGTTAAAGAAATAAATCACAAACCTGGGTGGCATCCAGTTCTTTAAGCTGGAAAACCAGTTAAAGAAATGAATCACAAAGCTGGTTAGCATCCAGTTTGAGCTGGTAACCTGGGTGGCATCCAGTTGTTTAAGCAAGAAAACAGTTAAAATGGCATCCAGTTTGTTTAAGCTGATATAGGATTATAGCAGGTGGAGGGAAAGTGGGAAAGGCACTGTGGCAACCCCTGCTTATACACACTGTTCTATTTCTGGGTTGCCAGGGTGACATTGGAGGAGTCAGAGTGTTAATTTTAGCTATGACTCAGTGATGATGTCATTGCTGTTTCAGAATTAGATCAAAGGGCAGCCACTTGCTCACCTACTAGAGTATTCCTGTGAATAAAACAATTCTCTTTTATTTACTGCTAGAAGTACCTCAGAAATTATTCTTGTCCCCCAGCAACCTCCCACCATGAGAGAGCAGGTGATTTCGGATTTTCTGGTGGATATACCAACTTCTAATACGACTTCTAACTCAACCCACAAATATCCCAAAATGCACCTACTTTTACTTCTAAATCCCCAACCCTCTCATTCTAGAACGTCAAAAATACCTAAAAATTGTTCAAATTGGGAATTTCAACTTATGAGGTGATTCCCTGTGTCCCCTGCTGTATTTTGTAGAAGGAATCGTCAAAATATCATCAGTGGCTCCTGACTTATACCCAAAACCTGTGCTTCTGCCCATTTCTATGCCATTGTTTCCTCATTCCTGATAATTTCATCCAAATTCGGTCTTTTCTCACCCAAAAACGTCGCAGAACCACCTGCACACCCCGTAGTTCCATAACTGAGACCTCTCCGGTATTACTATGTCTCAATTTTTCACCCTACGGGCCAAAATATTGCCTTCCTTCCTATTTGGGACACCGGAGGTTGAATGTTTGTCCCAGCATTTTCACAAGACACATTATCATATGCCTTTGATCTTTCTATCTCGAAGTCGACGATGGCCTAACTCTGGGGACCAGCATCGGCCGATCGGAAAGCGGCATGTTTGACTGTATTTATGCACCGCTACAAGTAAGTGTTTCCATGTTCCTTCGTGTTCTGGCTTCCACACCCACTCTGTTGACTCGGTTTCGCGGTATCAAATCTTTATTTTGTTCATATCTGTCCAGCCCCACAGTAAAAATTGCAATTACAACAAAAATAAATAGATTAGATGCCCACATCTTCCCAATCACGGTCATCTTGAGAAAGTTGTTCATTGAGCTCGGAAATGAGATTTTTCTGCTCTATGGTCCGCTGATCCTTCTCGGTGGATCATCCGGAGGAGTGTTTTGGGTGTTGTTCCTGGATGCAATGTTTTCGGGCATTAGCGATAGATATCTGCTTTGCAGTTAGCCAAGATATGGGAAAGCAAAGATCTGGCCAGTGTAACAATGCATGAAAGTGTTGTGGACTCAAAGTCGGGCTGGAAGATTGCTGGAAGGTAAACACGTCTCCCAAACATTGAATGCACTTGTCACTGAAGTGACAATACACATTTGATACACCCACATAAAACGCCTAAGGCTTCTTCAAATCACTGTAGATCGTCTGACTCCCGCAGTGAAAGCGGTAGGGTTTTAATCACCGTACCCCGCTATCTGGCCGGATTTTTTTGTTTTGGCCTTTAGGCTTCGGAAATATGTGAACTTCCGGCAAGTTCTGTCTCATTTTGGCTATCGGTTCAAAATAGAAAATCTGGCCTGACTACGGTACTCTATAGCTAATTTAATGATACCTTTCTCTCCGGTGCTAAGGGATTCAAGCAGCGG